AGGTTTACTTTGTTCTATCTAGTAGAGTTATCCTTTCTGGGATCCCCTGCTATCTGCTGCTGCGGCCATTGTCAGAATTTTTTGTATTCTGACAGCAGCCGTCATAAAAAAAAAACCCCCACCAAAACAAAAACAAATAGCAGGGGAAAGATTAGCTAGGCTGCTATAGGCCATTTCAAATTGCAATAGCCAATAGCAGGCTGGCTATTGCAACCGCCCACTGCTGCTGTCAATCAGCAGAGGTGGATCTGAATTTCTCTTTCAGGTCCTCCTCTGCTGTTTGACAGCAGCAGTGGATGGGTGCAATAGCCAGTCTGCTATTGGCTATTGCAATTTGAAATGGCCTATAGCAGCCTAGCTATTCATTCTCCTGCTATTTGTTTTTGTTTTGGTGGGGTTTTTTTTTTTTATGACGGCTGCTGTCAGAATACAAAAAAAACAACCAGCAGATAGCAGGAGAAGCTTTAGCTCCTCTGCTATCTGCTGATTTCCCTGCTATCTGCCATCATTTCAGGGGGGTGCCCTAAGCCCCATCACGCCCGGACCTGGCCGACGGCAACTGGATGTAAACAGACACCTGTTCGTTTAGATCCAGCTGCCCATAGACTAGTTACATTGGGTATTCGATCAGGTCGGCTTGAAAAAAATGACAGGCAGACTTGATCGGACTGTCGGTCTGAAAGGGGCCATATACTGAATAGGTTTTAGGGTGAAGGGGGGGAGGGGTGTCAAGTGCTTTAAATTTAATTAATTCCCTCTTTAATTTTTTGATAGCTAAAAGACAAAGGTTTCACAGCCAAGTCTGTATATATATATATATATTTATTTATTTTATTTTGTTTTCTAAAAGTAGAGGCCCTGTAAAATAAAAAAAAAAGCAAGTTTCATTTTTGTTATATTGCACAATATTTGCACAAACGTTTATCAAACTAATATTTTAGGATAAAATATATATCTAAATAAATAGCTAGGGTGGAGGAATTTCCCCCTCACTGACCACGCTGGGCTATTGGATTCTGATAGCGGCGAGTGTGCCCCTTTCAGAATACCCAAGCAGCTGATTGGCTGCAGTCACTGTTCAGCTGAGAATTTTCAGACTGTCTCCTTTTAATAAGTCAATTGAAAAAAATTGACTTTTCTTGAATGGGGGGTCCCCAGGGGACCACATTTTGCTTCAATTCCTGCTGACTCTACTCGAACCAAAAATCGAGTGTTGTTGTTTTCATGGATAGGAAGCACAAGCAGAGCAGATTCTTGTCTACTCTAGTTCTTCAAATTAGAACTACGTGCTGTTTTGTTTTTTTGTTTTTTTCTGACATCTGGGCCGCCGGCTGCTGTCAGTCAGAAGAGAAAAAGAAAAAAAAAAGGCATAGGAAGGAACTAATAGCTAGATTACTATTGGTTATTTCAATTTGCAATAGCACACTAGCTATTGCACTCCCCCACTGCTGCTGTCAATCCACCTCTGCTGACTGTGTAAGCTGCTATTTGAGCAGATTTTGGCCTACACCGGCCTTCTCCTTTCCACTCCTGGCCATTGAATAGAGTGTGTATGGGTTGCTGGAGAAGGTGGGCAGGGGAATTAAAGGCAACCATTTGCTTTTCACAGGTTTACGTTAACCACTTGCTGTCCGGAGCAATTTCTTAATTTTTGCTCATTTGTGTTTAAAATCTGATTCTTTGGCTATAAAACCTCTTAATACCCCCAAAATGTATATATTTTCTAAAAGTAGAGGCCCTGTAAAATAAAAAAAATGCAAGTTGCATTTTTTTATGTTGCACAATATTTGCGCAAACGTTTATCAAACTAATATTTTAGGATAAAATACACTAAAATGAATGTTAGTGCACAGAGACACAATTTAATGCCCATTTCCATGTTTGTGGTAAAATATAAAAGATGGGGTACAGCAATTAAATAGATACCAAACATGTCAAGCGTTAAAAGTGCATGCTCCCGTGCAATGACCAAAAGTGATGGTACTCAAAATTGTCCATCGTCGTCGTCGCTTTAACCCCTTCACGACTCGTCTGTTGCCAGATCGCTTCCTCAGGCCGATAAACTGCAACCCCCCCCCATGCCCGACACCCCCGGCTGTGTTTCCCCTCCTATGGGCCCGGGACTGGCATCTCTGGTGTCGGTGGGAAGCTGGGGAGGAGCTGTTCACCGATTTCTCCTCCCCGCACTATGGGACCGGGAGCGATGCAGATTACATCACTTCCGGTCCGCTCCTGAAGCCCAGCAATAAGCTATTGATGTGCGATCTGCACTTCAATAGCTTATTTAGAGTGTAAAGGTGACACTAGGGGTCTTTTGGACCCCCAGTATCACCTTTTAAAGAGGATCTTACTTCCCTTAATACACACGGAAATCGTATGTGTATCCTGTGTCTCTTTCACAAAGCTTATACAGTTTCACCCCATACCTGGCTCGTTTGTTGGGGATATACTGTTTTATAATAAGCCGGACAGTGAAATGAATGAGGGATTCATCGATGCAGATATTTTGCTTTGGAGTATAAATTTCTGAAAATCTGGCAGAAAAAAAATTGATGAGTGGCCTAATTTTTTGTAACCTATCATATGTGGGGTCACGCCTTGCTGAAATGAAGGAATCTCATTATCTTATTATCGCTTGTCCTGTACATTGTTGCAGAATAGAGGGGCATTTGATGGATTGGGTGTGTAGAACAGTACGCATTAGACGTGTGCAATTCGTTTAGTTCCAAATCGAAATTCGGACATCATTTCGAAAATTCGGATGTATCCGAATTACAGAAATAACAAATGCAAACGAATCCGAATTTCTGATTCCAAAATTAGTTAGCGGTAGTCTGGACGAAAGTTTGTTGCAGCAAAATGACATAAAAAATGTTTAGTCTGCAGAGGGGACCTACCTTTAGGTCTGGTAGGAATTTTAAGATCGAACCCCAGCCCCAAAAAATAGGGAAAAAAAACGTGGAGTCCCCCTAACATTCCTACCAGACCCTGGAGCTGAGCACTGGCCCGGCAGGGCAGGAAAGGGGGGGGGGGAGATCGAGCGCCCCCTCCCTGCGCCTTACCAGGCCACGTGCCCTTGGCATTTGGAGGGTGTTCCCATGCCGATGGGGACAAGAGCCTCTTCCCCCACAACCCTGACCCGGTGGTTGTGAGGGTCTGCGGGCAAGGGGACTTATTTGCATCAGGGTACCCCTTTAATTTTGATGGCACATACTAGTGTACTACCAGAGGCACTTTCAAATCCCTAATTCTTTGTGGCTGATGTTAGACCCCCCCCACTACTGGTGCTTGCCACTGCACTACTGGTGCTTGCCTGCTGCATGTCAGCTCCATGCAGGGGCGGACTGACCATACGGGCAGTCGGGCACTGCCCGAGGGCCCGCAGGCCAAGTAGGCCTTTCACTCCTTTTTCGCATTCACTGCTCTGTCTTCGATACAGTGCATTTTAGGTGCATTTTATATTTGTATGTGCTTCACATGTTTTACCAAACACCCCTATCGGAGGTATTGGAATTTGAGGGTACTTGTACAATGACACACTGACAATTGGGGGTCCAGAACAATGACACACTGATACTGGGGGGGTCCAGAACAATGACAATGGACAGTGCGGGCACAGTTACTGGGTCGTGCGCGGTCGGGGGGCGCACCTGAATGGGGGCGGGATGTTTTTAGAGGCTTTAAAGGGTTAGATTGGGGTGGGCAAACTCTGGCCTTCCAGCTGTCGTGAAACTACAAATCCCATGATGCATCTGTCTCTGGAGTCATGCCTGTGGCTATGAGAATCTTGTAATGCCTCATGGGATTTGTAGCTCCACAGCGCCTGGAGTTTACCCACCCCTGGGTTAGATGATAGGTTTAGTGCAGTAAAACACATTTATAGAGAGCTATACATCAGATTATAAAGAGGGACATCTGAGGAAGGAAGAAGGACAGAGTGATGTGGTTACAAAAGAGGGACAGTTGGGAGCTATGCCTGTGGTCACACTGCAGCTGGTCTTTCCCCCATTAAACTCTGATGACACCTAAGTGGCAGGATCAGCGGGTATATTCTGTAGTTGCAGAAAATGTTCTTAGTTTGAAAAAAAGAAAGCTAATGCAGCTGCCACATCTAAGGACTGGTAAGCTGCAATACATTACATTTTTATTTTTGGCTTTAGATATCTTTTATGGACTATTCACTCCGTTGTAGTGTGTTAGAGCTGCCTAACTCGCCAAAATGTACCATAAAAGGCGCATTTACCATTTCTGGAAGCTCACCGCAATGCAGGGCAGTTCATTGCAAATTCAAAATGAATGGCACCACATTGTACCAATGCATGTATGGTACGATTACACCTTTTACTGTAATGCAGTATTGTGAATGGGCCCTGAAAAGTGTAACTCCAGACGTTGTTTTTTTTTCCTTTTCAGTTTGTAGAGAAGGCTTAACCTGGCCATATACTGTACAATTGAAGTGTGTGGATGGAGGAATCTTCCCGTCTGGGCTATTGCATTCTGACAGCTGGCTAACTGGCTGCAGTCACCGCTTGGTCAACAGTTTTTTCCAGATGGTTCCTTCAACAAAAGTTGATTAAAGAATCAAATTTTTGTTGAGTTGGGTGGAACCAGTGGGGCCACGTGTAGATTGAATTTTAGCCAATTCCATAGGAAATGGGCAAAATCTGATGTGCGTATGGCCAACTTTAGATCTTCCACCAGGTTTTTACTGGTGTTGCCTCTGTCCCCATAGAGAAGACTTCCTCTCCCCACCCCATCCCCAAACTTATGTCAGTGATCACTGTTAGAGACACATGAGACACAGAGCACTGGATGTCACAAGTTATTTATGATCTGAAGGGCTGAATGCTAATTTGCCTTTTGCTACGCTCCATGAGGCTTATGATTTGCAGAGGGAAAAAAGAGCTACTTCTGTCTTTTTTCATCTCAGCTGGCTCCCTCTGATCAATGTGTGCTGACATTTCCACCCTCACTTTAAATTGTCAGCGGGCTAGCGTGTGTGTGTGTCATCCACTGTACTGCAGTGATTTTAATGGAACAGTCTATTATACGGCACAGCGTGGGGAATCCGCTGGAGATGATTGCAGAGCTACAGGAGCAGGTGTTCCAGTGAACGCTCTGGTCCCTGAGCCTGTTTGGTACAGGGATTATTTTCTATAATTGTAGGGGAGGGTGCAGCACGGGACCCTTAGCTCGGTGTCCCCTGTATCTGGTTTATGGAAGAGGCCTGGCAGTTAAACTGACCAGTTGGTGTATCAGAATGTGCAGAGCAGGAGGGAAGGGAGGGTCAGGGGAGAGAGCCTGAAAGGACCAGGAGTGGGTGGCAGAGCAGAAGGCAGTGAGTATGTGCAGTTTGAGTGCTGTTTGTGGCAATCAAAAGGCATACATGTGAATGAGGAAATCCATTGTGGAACGTGCAAGGAGGTGTGGAAGGGGGCACGGGTTATTGATACTTGGTAGAAGTAGATGCAGACAGTGAAACTCTGCATGACCAAGCACAGCATAAAGACACGTGGGTCCTGAACATTGGGACAATTCTAAGAATGGAGGAGGAAGGAAGACGTGACTCAGTCCAGAGTGTGGTCACCCAGAAGGTGAGAAACCCCCTTACCCAGTCTGTGTACATTCTTCATTCCACATGTGACAAATGATGCCAATCTATGAACATGCTTTATTTGGTCATTTGCTTTACTTATGTGCATTTACTGTCAGTATTTTTACTTCTTCTCAAAATGTAAAAACATTGTTTATTGCGGCTTTTATTCTGTGAATAGTTAGTCTGCTAAGGGCCAATTAGTGGAATGGGAGGGGGTGAGGGTTACATGTAAATTTCCTTTTTCTGCACCCTGGTCTGATAGTTTATCATTCCTGACCATTATTTTTCTTTGACATGTTATCTTGTACCTCCATCTCGGTACTTTACTTGTCAAAGTATCCCAACTCGCATCCAGATTAAAGCTGGCCATACACTGCTTGGATTTCAATAGACATTCGAGCAATGGGTGGACCTCCTAGCACCCATCCTTTCAATTTCCTTTTGGCGATGGAGCGGGGCCAAAAATTGTTGTCTGAACAATGACTGCAGACAATCGGATGCCGACTGCTGAAAATGCTAGTTACCTGGTTGCGTGAGTCACTGACTTCACTTCCTGGATACCTGTCCCGGGGTCAGTAAGGCCACATTTAGACAGGAAGCTGAGGGGTGGTAATATCAGGCAGTTGATCTGCGGTTTTATCACTGCTCAACTGCCTGCTGCAATGTTAGCATTATAGTTGAACAGAGCGGAATACTTTCAGAAGAAAAGGTGGCCGCACACCGGATTCCACTGGGATAGTTTATTGAAGCTTGTACCACGTCACTGGTGTCTCATCCAAGGTCCACACCTCTGACCCGTTTTACACAATCACGGGCTTAGTCCTAGAAATCTCTGATTAAGCCCAATACTGGGTGAAACGCGTCAGCCGGGCTGGACCATCGGCAGGACACCAGTGATGTGGTACAAGCGTCCGCAAACTATCCCAGTGGAATCCGGTGTGCGGCCAGTGTTTCTTCTATTTGTATGGGCTCATATTGGATCGAGGATGGCTGCAAGCGCCCGGCTCACTCGTTTTCTGAGCCATGGAGGAGTGGTGCTTCTTTTGTGTGTTTTCCTCAGAGCTGTGTACATTGCCACTTTGCTTCATGGTGCGGCACAAATGACACTGCATGTCACATTTGGAACGCTGGGTAGCCTACTGCCCTTTTCAGAGGGAGGTGGAGACTGCTGCCTGTCTAAACCATGCCTGACTCAGAAGATTCTGAAGCCAGAGACAGCCAAGTAATTAGCATTTTTAGGAGGCTAACTATATCATCCTCCATATTTCTGTAAAAACAAAAGGTTTCCTATAAGTAAAACAAGATAAAGATCAATGGTGCTGGTGACCTGTAGCAACCAAACAGAACTAACTCTTATCTTCTGACTTTGTATTGATTGCGTACTTATTAAATAGTACTTCTTAAAGTGTCTGAAAACCCAAAATGTTTTTGTTTGTTTTAAAATAGTTTTGAACAGAGCGTGGAAGGGTTAGACTCTGTCAGGCTTTTATTGCTGTGTCTCGGCTGGGGAGATTTACTGTCTCTAATTTTGCTGGTGACCATTATCACTGGGACAGAAGGCAACAGTAAGTCCAAACTTTTGACCTCTCACCGGAACAGAAAGAGGGAGGATTTCCCTTACTCTGTAGAGATTTCCTCTCACTTCTTGTTGTGTATCAAGAACGAGAAGAGAAATCTCCCAGCAACAGCAAAATAAAAGAAAAAAAGCTGACAGGGGTCTTAACCATTCCCTGCTGTCCTATTCAAAATAAAGTGTTGGGTTTATATAAACTTTGAAACCCAGATGTTCTCAAACAAAAAGCACTTAGGGCCCTGTCACACCAGCAAGAGTGCGTTCCAGTGCGTTCGGCCTCTGGAACGGCTCACTTTGTTTTGGGCGAGAGGGGGCGTGGCGGTGCATTAAACTCAATGGCACTGCAGCCCTCCACCCGCGGGGCAATTGCCGGCACCCGAACGCATGGCACGTCAGTGCCTGCGTTAAGGTCCAGTGTGATCTGCAAAAAATGCTGTATGCACTATTTTTTGCAGATCGCACTAGATCGGAACGCAGGCACTGATGTGCCACGGTTCCGATGTCCCCTCAGTGTGTTTTTAATGCACCATGAATGTATTTAGCTAATTGAAACTGAAAGTTTAATTGGACTTTAAGTCCATTCATCTCTCTCCCTCTGCCCTCTCTCCCTCTGCCCTCTCTCTCCCCCCTCCCTCTCCCCTCTCCTCCTGCCCCCTCTCTCTCTCACCCCCTTTCTCTCACCTCTCTCCTTCCCCTCTCTCTCTCTCTCTCACCTCCCCCCCCCTCTCTCCTTGTTTCCCAACGATTCTTGATCGCTTGTGCTCAGCACTTTAAATATGATAGTGTGTGCTTGTGCTGTATCCTAGCCACCCTGGTTCTTTGTCCCCAATGCTGTCACTGTCCTGTCCCTCCGTTGATGATGCTGAGATTGCTATGTCTAAAGGGCTGACAACACGCCGCTCACATGCTTCGCATCACACCCAGTTACAAATGCTCTGACAGTGCAGGACTGTGCCTGGATCCATTGTATCTTCCTCACTCGTTCATTCATTGTCTCCTTTACATGGACAACTCTATGGTAGTAGCTGTATTCCGATCCGCTTTTAATCATTATCCATCTGTCTCCTATGTACTTCTGATATGATCTGTACTATCCCTTTTTATTTTTTAATCTAGCTTTCCTGCTAGAACCACACATGCACAGTTTTAATCATGTTCATTCTGAATTGCTGTGTGTTAATCTACATTTTTAATCTTTAATTCACTATCTTCCCTCTGTCTGTAGCAGACCATCTTCCTGAAGATTCTGTATAAGGAGATTTTCTATAAGCTCTTTGTATAATTTCCTGTCCACTACTGGATTGTAAGCACTAATGGACAAGGCCTTTGTATGTTTATGTCCAGTCATATTTGTATGTTTTACAGTGTTTGTTGTTTTTTTATACTGTAAAATGCTGTAGAGCAACCTAGCACTATAAATCAACAGATAATAATAAAGTGTTCCTTCTAGGGGGAGTCCCGCGGCAGTTCCAGAAGGCGCCGGCTCTTTTGGAAACTTAGACAGCGGTGGAAACTCCTCGGGCTTTTTGAGATTGACAAAGAACACGAGTTCTACGCTTTGACCTGTGACCTTAAAGAAGGGCTTAAAGATGCCATTCAGGATGTCATTCAGAGTGATATACAGGTAAGACCTGTGCATTTATATGTCACCATAGAGCCCGCTTATTAAAGAGGACCCAATCCAGACCTGTTCACTCACAATCACCAGTAACATTGGGTTGCAGAATGCAAGTGAAGGAATCTAGCACATCCTTAGCAAATCCTTACTTAGTGATGTATTGCCTACATCTGTCTAGCACTTTTCAATGTCAAACGTCTATTGGAAAAGGTAAACCAGGTTGAAAAGCGATCTTTTGAGATTTGATCTTCTAATTGCCGTCATCTTTGATTTGATGCCAAAAGATCAGTGGACATCAATTGAAATGGTAGTCAATAACAATCAATTCAATCAGAATATTGAAACTATTGAATCATTCAATTGATCCCCATAATGCCAGTATTGGGCATTAAGAGTTAGGCTTGGGTTGGTCTTGGTGTCAGGGGTTAAAGCCCAACTGCAAACTACAGAAAAATAAAAAATGTCCCCTCGCAGATGTAAACCAAAAAAAACTCAGGCTGTTTTATTCACCTTCAGTCCGGAATTGGCCCCCAGAGTATTCCTTGTTTGTTTTTCTTATTCCTCCCATCACAGTCTTCCAGATTGAACAATGCTGGGCATCATTCAACCCAGAAGACTGAGGACAGATTGTGAGTCCAGGGCATCCTGGGTGTCCTGCACTCACTGTGTAATTATGCAGAGAGCGTCAGTACTGTTCTCTGAATCGCTAAGGACCACCCACCAATGGTAGAAGACTAAAGAGGAAGAGGAACGGGCATTACCTAACTGGGCTAATGCCTGAAATAAAGACAATTATAAACAAAATCGTATCAAATACTTTGGGGGACTTTCAGGGATGAAGAGGGAGTACTAGAGGGTGATCCCAGAATTGGGCTTCAAGATGTTAGTGTGTATATATAGTGTATACATAGCCAAATTCTTTGGATAGAGAGGGGAAGGGTTAGAACCTCTGTGTGCTGGTTATTGTTTTTGTGAGTGATTAACTTTCTTTGTTCATCCTGGGGACTATTGTCACCGGGACAGTCATGTGAAAGTCAACACTTTGTCACTAGAACAAGAGGTAAGAGTCAATCTTCCAATTGGGACACCTGTTCCGGAGGCAATGGTCTAAAAGGACAGAGATATCCTCTCGCTTCCTGTGGTCACCAGGACAGGAAGTAAAGGCAAATCTCCCCACCCGGACACAGACAGCAAGAAATAAACTACTTTATTCTTACTTCCTTAATATCCACACAAAAAAAATATATATTTGGCTATACATACACTTTAATGTTAACAGTTTGATTCCAGGTAAAGATTAGGGTTCAGGGAGTATTTGTATTAAGGTTTTAAACTAATAAAGCGATAAGTTTTACATTAAAGGTAAGTGTTCGGTTAGGGTAAGGGTTGGGATTAAAGGAGAAGTACTGGGAAAGTAAAATATACTCTTCCCAATACTTAGAGCCGGTGTGGGGCACTGCAGCTGTCACACACTGGCTCTATATTGAAAACTGAGCAATCATGTAACCGCTGATCATGGCTTCTCCCTGCAGAGAGCAGTCACTGTTAGTCACCACTACCTACAGGGATTCCGCCTCCTCTGTATGTTTCTCCGGCGCTCACCAAAGGGACAGACGGGATGGGGGCGGGCAGCCGGGTGGATCCTGACAATATTGTTGGGATCCTTCCTGGTTGCTTTGCGCCATCAGAGTATTTACTTGTACATAAGCAAGTAAATGTACTTCTGTGGCCTGAAAGTGAAGTTAAGCCAAAAGAAAGGTTTGGCTTTACTTCTTCTTTTTTTTAAGTGTTAATATTAAAGTGTTTGTAACCCCAGAAATTAACTTTCCTTTTTTCATTTCTTTTGCTCTGTTAAAACAAAAGCCTTTCATTGGTATATTTATCTTTTCAATCAAGTGCAAAATGCTTTTTGATCCTGCCAGAAATGTTCTGAGCTGATAACTTCAAGTGCTTTTTTTCTGGGTTTTTTTTCTTAACGTTACATCTAGCACAGCTTGCCTATATCTATACATATACCCATACAGGTTGATTAGAGCTGAACTCCTGTGTACTGGATGGTACATCCCATCAATACACATGCTAGAGAATGTAGCTTTTGTAAGTTTACATCGCAGTCATAAAGTTTGCACGAAGTGTGAAAATATTATTACAATTTGGTCTTTATCTTTATAGCCCGAAGTTACAGATGAAGATTACAGCGCTAAACTAACACAGGAACACAAGGTAAGATTTGTTTCCATTCTTATCTGGTGCCAACATATAAGGGCTTTTTATTTATTAAAGAGCTTTAAATAGCAAATATGTGCTATGACCCCAGTCAGTTAATACAGTTGTTATTATTAATAGTTTGCTCAAAACTGATATGTCAGTTTTGGGTAGACGGTTGAAAGGCTACTCAAAATAAATGAGATCTGGGATCCAGTGGAAGATGGCGTTTAGTTGTTTTGCTCAATAAAGAACATTGTTTGCTGTTTTTTCATTTTCCATTGTATCCCAGATCCAGTTTTTTTTTGTGATGACTTTAAATATTATAGTGTTCAAGTGGGATTCATGATGAATTACACATTACTACTGTATACTGGTTATCATTTTTGGCTATTGCACTTCATCCAAACTGCAAAATATTGTGCCATTATGAGTCAGTTCCAAGTAGATAGGTCGGGTGAATGGCTTAAAAGATTTTGTAGGTTAACAATAGTGCCATAGTGCAAGAACCTTGTAGTGCTTAGAGATAACCATTTTAATTTTCAGATCATTCCCTGTGGTCCTGTGGAGCCCTTTGGACCCTAGGCTCTAGTCGAACCTGCCCCCTTTTAACATTAAGTTCAACTGTCTGTCATTCTACTGTCAAATACCAGAGCCCATTGATGTTCTGTTATTTGGAGGTTGAAGGACAAGCTTTATGTTGGTTTGGGTAGAAGGTGTCCGTGTAGAGCTGGACTTGGGACCTAAGTTTTTAAATAAAGACACAGGGATTAATCAGTAGACTAACATAGGCACTTATCATCTCTGCACTTTGGCACTACTGTCTCCTTAAGTCATTTTAGGCCAGGTCAGAATCACTTTAAAGTCCAACTTCACCCACAAAAACGTCACATGGATTGTAACCTTTTCATGTTCTGCACAAGTCTAATAAAACTTTGGAATAGAGTTGGTCTTTAAAGCCATTAATGATTTGTCTAAAACCTCTAATTCTGCATACAACAGGGATATATGATGAGGACATACGCTGGCCCAGTGTTCCGGTATTTCCGCCAGTCTCTTGGGATGTCTGAGGAAGGTTACCAGCGCTCTCTGTCAGCCTGCAGCCACTACCTCCAGTTTATTAGTAACTCCAAGAGTAAAGCAGACTTCTTTCTGACGTGAGTTGAAAGGATTTCTTTATAGAACCTTTACTGCTAACACAGAGCTAGCATGGCTGTCCTGTAACTATATAAAAGAATACAAAATGTGCAATTTTATATAGCTGAACTGCAGTAATTTTTTTTAAAATTGGAAACAGCTACAATTTCTGTTGGATCGGTTTGTTTTTTTGGTTAGTTACCCCCATTAGAAGGATATTCCCTCACTTCCTGCCCCTGGGACACCAGGACAAGGGAATGGGTGGAACAGTTTTCTCCATGGCAGGAAGGAACAGAAAGCCATAAACACATTTAGAGTTTAAGTAGACAGAGAGGACAATCAATACAAGTGAGAGCATCTAGCCATTCTCAACTCAATTTAAAACAAAATAAAAAGTTTTGGTTTAAGTTGGGCTTAAAATAGTAATGATGATGAAGCCTATTAAAGTGCAGGTATAGCCAAAACTTTTCTTTAGTTTAAGATAGTTGGGAAACATTCAAACCCCTATTGGGTTATTTTTTAGGGTATGTGTGCCCTATAGGGATTTCTCTTCACTTCTGTCCTGGAGACCCAATCCGGAAATGAGAGGTAATCTCTGGCACTGAAACATTTGCCTCTGTTGGATGATTTTCACTCACCTCTTTACTCTAGTGAGTACTCTAAAATTTCAGATTTTTTCGGTGACCATGATCAGTAAGGGCAGATAGAGAGGGGGAATCTCCCCAGAGGCTACACAAACAGTAATAAATAGATTCTAACACTTCCACTTTCTATCCGCAACTAAAAAAAAAAAAAAAGTATTGCCTTAGAATTCCCCATAACTCCTTGTGTGTGTGTTTTGTTTTTAGAAATGACAAGAGATTCTTCCTTAAGACACAGAGCAAGCGAGAGGTTCACTTTCTGCTACAAATACTGCAAAAGTACATGCAGCACTTCCAGGCCTATCCGCACTCCCTTCTAGTGAAGATCCTAGGTGAGCACATGGTGTACAGTCACCTGAGTAATGCTACACTTGATCGTTTTTTTTGTCTGTAGTTTTTTTTTTTATGCATTAAAATAAAATTTGTAACTCCTCCCATTAAGCTCTTTTTGTTGTCACTTGCTAAACCAAGGGTCACCATACACGTTACAATATGACTGTACGATCTTCTTTAGATGTACCAAAAACTACTGTATGTAGTGTAATGGCCTTCCTGAATGGATTGCTAAAGTAGATTACATTGTAATATAATTACTTATATTACATTTTTTTTAGTAAATGTAAAAGAGAATGTATAGTCATATTGTAACATGTATGCAGAAGAGGCCGGCGTTCGCAGTGGAGGAGGCGGGGCCCACCTAAGATCAACCCCGTCTCCTCTTACATCACTGGCCAGCGACCTAAGAGCAGGCGGGGCCCGTCGATAGAAGAGGAGGCGGGCAGCGCTGACAGGTAAGAGAGGTGTGCAGCCCATCTGAGACCCTGCAGTGCCCACTGTAGAGAGTCTATGGTGGGCTCTGCAGGGTCACTCTCAGGTGGGCCCCATACAAAATTTTGCTACGGGGCCCTGTGATTGCTTTTAGGCATTATTAGTGTTACCGCTGTATGCAGTTTCCTACCTACTGAATTGAATAACTAGAAACACAAAGCACACAAGCTCACCCCTATCATCCATCCTTATAATCCACATTCCGTGCACGGATGAATCTCTTCTGGAGTGATGGGCTCAAAAACTGTAGAAGCAGCACACGATGATCTGCTAGTGAAATTGAAACTTTATTCCACTAGCATCTATACAAAGAACAACCGCTGACACGTTTCTGCCTTACTCGGCCTTAGTCTTAGCTATAACCAAGGCCGAGTAAGGCAGAAACACGTCAATCGTTGTTCTTTGCATAGATGCTAGTGGAATAAAGTTTGAATTTCTTTGGAAGAGCATTGTGTGCTGGTACTACAGTTTTTTAAGTGAATAACCCCCATATTTATAATAATGGAGATGACATTGTTTCCTGTACTTTTGTAATACTTTCTGGCAATGATATCAGTCATACAGTATCTAAGGTTCTATTTATTCAGTAGGAATGGATTATATATGTAGCCTTGTTTAAAAAAAAAAAGTTTTCTGATAGGTTTGTTGTGTTCCAGGTGTTCACAGCATCACAAGGGAACAAGAGAAAAAGGTGAGCATGTCTGCATTACATAAAGTGTGTGTGTGTGTGTTCGTGCGTGTGTAAGACCAAACAAAGAACTTTTATTCCCTTTTGCTATGGTAAATTTAACATTAAAAGTGTTTTCTTAGTATCTGTTTGATAAGTGCAACAAAAAAGTCTGGTCAGATATTCAGAGCTGTCCTGTGTCTTCTGTACACCTCCTAGCGCTCATCTTGATTTACAGAATCATTATCCTTTTATGTTGTAGAGATTTGAAAGTGGGAATGGTTGAGTAGTTTAGCACAAGTCATTGAGCAGGGCTGACACCACACAAAGCTGAGTGCATTTGTGGCAGATCAAAAGCTATTGTTCTGTACGTTTAGGGTCTTTTAAAAGGATACAACACAGGAAAATGTGCATGTATTGCAGAGATGTACAGCATTTCTTTTACCTTGACCTTATGGTTTAAAGGAGAACTGTGGGGTTAAGGCTTTTTCCCATAGTTCTCCTTAGGGTAACGGGAGGACACAAACTAGCATCCTCCCGTCACCCTAAGCTCAGTATACCGCGAGCTACAGCTCGCGGTATACTGAGACGCCACAGTACATCGTGAGCCACTGCTCGCGGTATACTGAGACGCCGCAGCTGAAGCGGATCCCGACAATTATGTCTGGATCCGCCCAGCTGCGTGAGTGACAGCTGGCTCTGCCTATCTAGAGGCAGAGCCAGCTGTACCCGCCCCCTCCCCCGTCCAATCCGCCAGTCAGCGCTGGCGGATCGGAGCGGGGAGGGGGGAATCCAGCCCCTCCCCCTGTCACGGCAGAGAGCTGTGACAGGATCGTGAGGTGAGCGAACGCCGGTATATGTTCGCTCATCTCCCGATCTACTGAGCCGACCTGTGACAGTCTCATTGTCACAAGTCGGCTAGAACTATGAGGTGAGTGAAAAGCACTCACCTCATAGTTCTCCTTTAACAGAAGTTCTGTATTTTTCCCAGATTAGGCAACAATGTGGCTTCACTTTACGAGAAATGACAAGTGCAAGGTGTTGTAATTGACTTCCCTTTCATGCACTTCATTGCACAGCTGATCTTCTGCCAGAGCACCTCAGGGACGGGGTTGCCTTATCACTGAAATTCACTCGTTATATCTAAAAAACACATCCATCCACTTGTTTCCCTCATCTCAACCACTCACCAAGGGAATGTATGGATTTATCAGCAATTGTTTTGAGATATTCAAATAAGGGATTAAGCTAATATAAATATTGCTATCTACCGTATATGTATTATGTAAAAAAGAAAACTTTGTTCTGTGTACTTCTAGATGAACAGGGTGACCATTATGTTTTCTTATCACATATGCAGGCTCTGATTCCTGTTTTACAGTGCTGCACAATGGTTGTGCTTTATTTATGCTTCTCACAGTCTGTGTCGGCAGGCTCACTGAAAAGAATGCTCTCCCAGTGTGGCTGAGATCTCAACAGTTGTTAAAGGGAAACTATAATTGACTTGGATCAATGTTATTATAATTTGTTCTATGTTTTTAAACATAGAATGTGAAAGCCACACTGAAATGTACTACAAAGCCAACATTTCTTTTCTTTTTAGTTGCGGATAGAGGAGGATCAGTAAGAGGAAATCTACTTGTCCCCATTAGAAGATTTCTCCTCACCGGTTTCTGTGACAGATTTAACTCTTTTAGATTTAGAGTCTTGCTAAAAAATAAATCCGGGCAACATGTTGTGTTGTTGTAGGAATATAATTTGGCCACTAGATGGAGCCGAAGAGCACAGGAAATAAATACTTATTTCCTATGCTCCTCAGCTCCGCCTAATGGCTTAGATGTTTTATTACAACAACACGCTACATTCTAATTGGGAAACTTCATCTAGTGGTCATAGGGTATAATTACACTACATTTGAACAGGGGGAAAAATGTATTAAAAGCAATCGTTTTTGGCATTATTCGCCAACATGAATGTCCCCAGATATTAGCATTGAGAATTGTTTATAAATAGACCCCTTTGTGTCCCGGTGACAATGCTTACCAGGGCAAATAGAGGGATGACTCTCCCTAGTGGGGACACAGACAGGCTTTACATACACTATAATAAAAACTAAAAATATTTGCTCAGTAAAAATACACTTTACTTGCCCAGTAAGCTGATATTGTTTTACATCGTTAATGGTGATTTAATGTCTTTTGTTACAGAAGTACTTTATCATCATGCAGAGTGTCTTCTTTCCAGATGAGCGGATCATTGGCCGGTAGGGTGAAAATTTTTCTTTTTCTCACTTTTACACCCAAGGGTGGCCAGAGTAGTGTTAGTAACTGCCTTGCCTCCAATCTGTTCAGCTATGATATAAAAGGCTGTCACATAAGTCGCTGGACTGAGCCAGAACCAGAGGGAAGCCGAGTCCTGCAGGTCTTCAAGGATATGAACTTTGAAGGCAATGTCATCTGTATGGGTGAGTGTGTGTCCTTCATAGCAGATTGTCAGAGTTCTGTATTTTGTGTATTATATATCTCATAGTTCTGTATGCTTATGTTATGTGGGCAGGAATGAATCACTGGTTTTGTACAGTACTTTTTAATAAGGGACTCCAGTGCTTGCCTATGCTTTCAGTGCAGCGTGAGCAACACACAGATAATTCAGGTGATTTTGTTTTTGGGATAAGTTATCCTTAGTAAATAGGTAAAAGGCTGAGTAACATTTAGGGGCCGATTTTATAATTCTATCTGCTCTCCGTTATACTTTGCTAGGTTACGCACACTGCGGCCAATTCATAAAATGCAGACCACAAAGTGGACCCTGCAGTTCCCCACAGAGTTCTCTCTTCTTAACACAGTAGAGAGAATTGCAGGATTTCAGAAGACCTGGTCATGTGATTTTGACAGGTCACGTGTCTTTCTGCTTATATTTATGTTTATTTTGCTACTGGAGCTTCGGACTCCCAAAAGCCAGCAGAGTGCAATGGCCATTTGTAAAGCGCACCCTTGTGCTTTATAAATGTGGTGTTTTTTTGCTTTAAAGCAGCAGTATGGCTGAGTGGGTAACTTATCAGTGTGTAGGTGCTTCTTCATTGTCCATTCAGAAGGCTTCAGGCAAACACTGTATTCGTTAACTCTAACCTAGAAACTGGTGTTACCTAGTGGCTGTGATAGACTGTAGAGATCCCTTTGCAGTAAGACCATGTAGGTGCCCTCTTGACTGCCATATACACTATATTGCCAAACGTATTGGGACACCCATCAAATCATCGGATTCAGGTGTTCTGTGATATTTCCTTGCTACTAAATATTCCACGGTCAACTTTTAGTGGTATTATAACAAAGTGGAAGCAACTTTGGAACAACAGCAACTCAGCCAGGAAGTGATAGGCCACGTAAAATGAGAGCAGGGTCAGCGCATGCTGAAGTGTGCAGAAGTTGCCAACTGTCTGCAGGGTCAATAGCTACAGACCTCCAAACTTCATGTGACCTTCAGATTGGCACAACAACAGTGCGTAGAGAGCTTCATGGAATGGGTTTCCATGGCCGAGCAGCTGCACCAAGTGCAATGCAAAGCGTCGGATGCAGTGATGTAAAGCACGCCGCCATTGGACTCTAGAGAAGTGGAGACGTGTTCTCTGGAGTGACGAATCACACTTCTCCGTCTGGCAATCCGATGGACGTGTCTGGGTTTGGTGGTTGCTAGAGGAACGGTACTTGCCTGACTGCATTGTGCCAAGTGTAAAGTTTGGTGGAGTGGGGGATTATGGTGTGGGGTTGTTTTTCAGGGGTTGGGCTTGGCCCCTTAGTTCCAGTGAAGGGAACTCTTAAGACATCAGCATACCAAGACATTTTGGTCAATTTCATGCTCCCAACTTTGTGGGAACAGTTTGGGGATGGCCCCTTCCTGTTCCAACATGACTGCGCAACAGTGCACAACGCAAGGTCCATAAACACATGGATGAGCCAGTTTGGGGTAAGGTGAAGAGTTGAAGCTGTTATAGTGGCAAAGGGCGGGCCAACTCAATATTGAACCCTACGGACTAAGACTGGGATGCCATTAAAGTTCATGTGCGTGTAAAGGCAGGCGTCCCAATACTTCTGGCAACATAGTGTATGTTATGTACACCTCTCCTGCTTGGATGCCATCAGAGCAGTCTTTTCATTCACCATTTGTCTCAATTCCCTGCTACTTTCTGCAACTCTCTGATCAGTTTTATGCCAGCCAAGTTTTTTTCAGGGAGTCAGAGAACTTGGTCACATTACTACCTGTAATGTCACTATAAACACGGACAGACCTGTGTTGTAGTTTCTTCTAAACAGATTAACATTACTCTCAAAACTAGTGGCCATATTACTATTATTCTTATACTTGGTGTTGGGAGGTCATCTGATCAACAGTGATGCAGTGGCTGAATCCATCTCTACTGGTAAATGTTCAAGTCTTCCACTAGCTTAGCCTGCACAACTGTAAAGGTCAACAGCAAAAAGGAAGATTCTCTTTTGTCTTCATCTGATTTGTTCTTTACATTTCCAACACCCAGGAAGTAAGTTTACTACATACAACATTATGGGGGCCGGTACCCTGACCATAAAACCATTATTTGTCTTATTATTTCTCCTCCCACAGATCAGCAGCGCTCTTGGTTGCTTCGTCAAACAGAGCTGGACACCCGCTTCCTGCGTGAGCTTAATGTCCTGGACTACAGCCTGCTAGTAGGATTCCAGCCTCTGCATGCTGATGAGAAGAGCCAAAACTGGTCCTTAGCCAACCTCATTGTCCGCACTAAAAGGTGACCAAAGATAACAAATGTGTGGGAAAGGAACTGTAAGCTGAAGGCAAAGTAGAGTGTAGACTTGTGATTTGCATAGTTTTACAATCTAGCTCTTCAATATTTCTGTGATTGTATACATTTAGGATTGAATTTAGGCATTAGTGACAGCTTTTAGTGGCTGCTTCATGACTGCTGAGATAAGGTATCAGCCACACAGGGAGTGCATTGATTTCAGTGAGTTGATCGACATGTAGATTTGCACTTAGCGAAGCAAAAAAGCACAACCATTTGTGTAGAATTACAAAATAGGAAGTGGAATGTAACGAGTAAATATGGGTGTCCAAATTCACATATATAACTACAAACCATACAACTAAACAAGGTTTTTAAAAACACTAACATTTATCAACAAGATTTTTTGTTACATCCAACTGATTTCTTCTGCATGTTTTTAAAAAAAAAGAAAAATGTGGGGGTCATGCGGGTAGATTTGGATTGAAGCCTTCCTCTGGGGGAGCGACATAAGGAAACTTGAATAATAGTGATTTGAGGTACTCTTGTACATTATCAGGCATGTTGTGAAGACATGGATCTTTCTTGCAATTTGTAAGATGTAAGGGATTTGATCTGCATTATATTACATACCTGATGTTTTTGTTTTTGTTTTGAAGTGATGACGTTTGTGTAAAATGATGAAACTTCAATAAAATACGTATATGGAGGGTGTGGGGGGGAGGGATACATTAAGATTAAAATGGAACGTGTTCTAAATTTATACCCAATCAGGACAAAATAGCAGATTCACTTGAGAGCTGCTGCTACCACCCCCTCCTTCCTGTAGCTGGTACTTACTAGTACTCCTAGGTAAGGGGAAGTGTGTCCTCCCCTTCTCCCACTGTACAGGGCTGGAAGATTGAGTGACCAATCACCAGTCCAGATCTCTGTCATATTTGGCTGTACGGAGGGTTCTTAGCTAGTACAGGCTCCAGCCTTACCAACTTGGAGCTTGCATAGGGCTTTTTCACTTGCTGCAGCAAGTAGGTGTACGCATGTAAGTACAGGAAAGGTAACAGCTGTGGGTGGGAGGAAGAGGACATTAAAGTGACACTAAACCTCAGGAGGTAAATCATAAAAATGCATTCAAGTAGCCGAACTATTAACAAAAATGTAGTTTATTTGTGTATCACTCGGCTGTAGAGCATCAAATCATCTCTGAATTGGTGCTGACACTGTCCTTCCTTCTGGAGGGGGGCTACTTTTGTTCTCCATGGTGTGTTGTGAAGAAGCCACCGCTCCAAGCTCACTCCAAGTGATGGACTACAATCTCAATAAAAATGAGTAAACTAAATGTTAGATTGTAGTCCTTCACGGGAACGAGCTTGGAGCGGTGACTACTTTACAACACACACAGGGACCATGGGGAACTGAAGTAGCCCCCCTCCAGAAGAAAGGCCAGTGCCAGAACCAATACAGAGATGATTTGAGGATCTACAGCCGAGTGATACACAAATAAACTACATTTTTGTTAATAGTTAGGGTACTCATTTTAGGTGAGCATCTTACTTTGCCTTGTATAGATAGATCTGAAAAAAAATCTCTGGGGTTCTGTAGATTATCATTGTAAAAGTTGCTCAGAAACGTAAAGGGTTGTAATAAGAATGGATTTATAAAACTTGGAAGAAAGGTTAAAACAGATTCTGTCACTTTTAAAGGAAAAAAAAATACTGAAATGTATAAAGAGGAAGTTGCAGCAGCTTCCAGCACTCCTGCTCTGACCAAATGCTAATACTTTCGATTAGGAAAAGCTCTGACAGTTTCTGTTAGTGACGTTTGCCTGGTCCCTCGCACCCCCTTCCCCACATTTCTATTGTGCTTGAAATTTTATTTGAATGTTTAAATGTATAATCTCTTTTAAATACTTTTTATGATGTATATCCTGTTTAGTTACATTGGAGTTCTTCTTTAGGTCTAGCAGATTGTTATAAACAGAGATTATAATAAAGTGTTATTTTCAGGTCTGTAAATGGGACTGGCAGTCCAACCACATCTCACTGTGCCTCTGTTCCTGGCACTGTTGAAGAGGAAGGCGATTCTGTGGATAAAGAGGACGACAGCACAGAATATAGTGGCACCCCAGAAGTGACCTCTGCCAGACGTCTGCCACTGAAGAAGATTGGGCAGCAGGTCAGCACGGTATCCGACTTATCTGATGTTGTGGCGCAGAACCGTCGCTTGCTGCCAAACTACAGGAACCCTTTGCATGTGATGGACGGGCCAGAGCAGAAATACTTCATTGGCATCATTGACATATTCACTGTGTACGGCTGGAGAAAAAAGCTGGAACATCTGTGGAAGAGCATGCGTTACCGCGGACAGGAGTTCTCCACCATCAGCCCTAACCGTTATTCACAGAGGCTATGCCGCTGGGTGGAAACGCACACTGTGTAACATGGCAGCAGTCATTGAGGTCACGTTAAGGACTCTTAGTTTGTGCCAGTATAGGGTTGGATGGTAGTTAGGGTTGGGCTGCAGCGCTTGCTCCATGTTTGCAATATAATCCGCTTTCTTAGAGACTTTATTCAATTGGCTCATGTTCTTTATTAATGCGTATATTTACAGCCGCAACGGCCGTAGGAGGCAACATGCTGAGTTTTTATCGCATTCAGAAGGCTGCCGAGAGAGATGATGGCTGTTTTTTTATGAGAACTGCAAAGGATGTTGTATTTTTTCTCTTTCCCAATCCCCTTCTTCCATACAGCACTGCTACAGCTAGATTTTCCCACAATCACCCAGTGGTGGCCAGACAGGAGCTACCAAACTGTACAGTTTAATGATTTGTACTATGGACACCCTATTGCCTACTCAGTGCCTTACGGTAAAATAAATGGCCTCTGTGACCTTCAGAAGCTTACTTACTATGTCTACCTGCAATGTCTGGGCACTGTTGTGTTATGTGCAGCATTGAAGGCAAATCTTATATACACAAACGTGAGTGCTTTTCTGTGAGAATGCCTTCCTACCCCATCAACCCCTTTTCTGTGTCTTTAACTGCATGCAGCTGCTATATGAATATCTTTATTGAATAGTTATGAAGGATTAAACTGCATGACTATAGGCTGCATGGGTGCATTCCTGAGGAAGAAACACCATTATTATCAGTCTTCTTTCACAGCTGGTAGAACTGTTAATTGCCTCCATCTCCAGAACGGGGTAAGCTGCCTGTCAAGTGTGCAGAAGTATACATGAAATAGTTTGTTTTTTTGCATTGATATATTAACAGATGACGTTTTATTATCCAGATTTTTCTGCAAATAGAATTTCTGCATTATAAAATGTACAACTGGTGTTTTTTTATGCTGAGATTGTATGCATATACATATGCAGATGTTTTTTAATGCCCAAAGGAACTTTCAGTTTAAATCAGTGCTCTACGTTCCTTGTGCATCAAAACAAAACGTCTTCTTAAGAAAGCCACCAGAGCTTGTGTAAAAAATCCTGTGCCATGGCTGCATGCTGTAGAAGAGAAAGAGCACTTGCTTTATGTGTGGAGGCAATAGTCTCTCTGCAGAATTCTGAAATAAAAAATGATTTTTGTCTTTCCTGTAAAATCTGTTTCTTGATCATTCATCACGGAACACAGGGAGTGAATTCTCCAACTACTGGGTTATGCAGCTACCTCAAGGTGACTGACACTAGCACATCATTTAAAACGGGCCCTGCATAACCCCTGCCACTTTAAGCCTCGCTCAGTTCTTTTCCTTATATGACATCTTCTCTGAGCTCTGAGTACTTGCTTTTTCGCTAGTTTTCTTTTTTTTTTTGCAAGATTCTTCAAGCAAGTTCCCCAACTCCTGCTGTAAGACACGGTGGCACCTCAAGCAGCTATTGGAATCTATTTTCTGTCCCACAGAGCCTTGGTGAACTGTACCTGGAGCCTGACAGAAGGAAATTGCACACTAGCCTGTAATGTGCTCAATTAATGTACCCTGTGTTTGGCGCCGTCCCTAAGCTCTGCATCCATGATACGACCCAAAGCCCCTCAGGTAAGCCACAGCCATGCTGCCAAGTTGGTAGCCTCAGTCCCCTAATGGATTAAATCTGAGGCTCTGTCATGAGTTTGGAGTTGTGATTTTAAGGCAGTGTATAGCTTTAAGAAATCGAAATTGGTTCCAATAGGCTTCCTCGTGCTGCCTAGGGTCCAGGAACTCCGCCTATGCTGCTACTCCTCGGGTAATGTATTGCTAATGTGCCCACCCTTTTCTGGCACACTTGCAGCTAGTTACATGCTCTGCTGCTATACTCTGCACAGGTTTCCAGACAGCTCACTGCTGCACAAGCCTACAGCTGAAACAGTGCTTCTTATCCTGGGTAACATTGATGCTACCTGAAGTGTCTAGACATAGGGCACCTTCTCACTGCTGCCATGAGTTTGTGGGCGACAGCACATTGCAGATCATAGGTGCATGGCCACACAGATGTTCTATCCAGAGACGAATTTACCTCCATTATGGCGGATTTAATGGGGAAGATGGCTCATCTCCATCTCTTTGTTACTTTTGGCTGTAGGGGCCTCATGTGCTTCCTCAAAGAACACACACCCACTAAAATTCTCCTCTGCTCTGTTTGTCCTGCCAGAAGAAGAGGAACGAACTGTTTCTAGGTGCAAGGAGTCTTCTCAGTAAGAACACCTGTCCTCTGATATCTCTCCTAAGAGAAAGGACACAATTTCTGTCCTCATGGATGTGGTCTGCACTTGCAAATAGAACCACCAGCATCGACCCTTCAAAAGATCACATGCAGTGTATCCTTTTGGATATAATGTTGGCCAGGGGAGCTTATTTCCAAGAAATACTTAGAGCATATGCCCCTTTGGTAAAAGCCTTGGGTACTTATATCAAGGAAGTCACTGGGAGAGGGGGAAGCAGCTTCTTCCCACAGAAGAAGCCTAAGACTTCAGTAGCTATGTCTTCTCCCTCCCTTAGCAAAAGTTCCTTTTTGTCCTTCTCAAGCCTCAGGGTTTAAACCCAAACAGGGTAAGCAGTTCTGCTGCCAGGCCTGGACTTTCTAAGCCCAAAAAGGCAGGAGGTAAATCCTCTTTAAGTGGGAGAATGTCTTTCATCCTGCTTGGTACTCTGAACCCAGGCATCAGGAATGCCCCATGGCCAGTCTCATTACCAAAAGCTACAAAGCCAGCGTTTTGCTGTATCCTCCCCGTTTCCTGTTGTCATGTCTGCTCAAATCCCCTCAATGACGAGCTGATCTCTTCGCCGCCCCAAGTTTCTTACAGAGTGATAGTCCCTGTTCTAGAGGCAAAATTGTTCAAGAGGTGTTACGTCAACCTGTTCACCGTCCCCCAAGGCTAAGGAAGGGGATCTCCCAATCTAAGACCTGAAGATTCCCAGTTGATTTCTGAGAATTAGGGATGGATCTTAGGATGGAATCCACCAATATTTAATTGCCTCCCTTCTTACAGGAAATGTCTTGGCCTCAGTGGACATCAAGGATCTCATCTCAATGTTCCCTTCCTACCATCGCTACCTATCTTTGGCTGCCCAGCATTTCCAACTTGTTACTCTTCCCTTCGGTCTGTCCACAGCACCCAGGAGGTTCCCCATAGTGGGTCACTAGGATGATCTGTCACCCAACATTCAGTGGATGATACACTCTACAGAGCTTCCAATAGATTATGAACCTCTACAAAGCTTTGTTGCAGGTGTAAGACACTGGGTGTATATCACCTACCTTCGTGACTCTGTGGGATCAGTTCACACTGATCTACACTCCCCCTTCCTCTGAACCTCACGTCCTTTGCAGAATCAAGACGCAGGGGTATCCCAGTGATCCTCATTGCCCCCCAACCAGTTAAGGAGACCCTGGTCTGTGGGCCAACTCTTGGTGGATGCTTCATGGGTACTTCCAGACCTTCTGTCATAAGGGTTGGGATTCCACCCTGCTTCCCAGTTGCTACGGTAGTTATAACATTATGGCTGTTTAAGCCCAAGTCCTGAAGGCTAAAGAGGCCTTTAGACGCAGTCATGTCCACACACCTGCCACCTGGAAGTTATACTGCATGGTGTAAGGTCAGGAAGTTCCATCCTCGGAGGTGCTGCGTGGAATGCATTTTATCCTTCCACCAGTCTGGTTTGGACAATCATTTACCCTTGAGTACCTGCAAGGGTCAGATTATCTGCCTTGACAAACCTCTTTCACAGGCCACTTACCCCTAACATTGGTGAAGGCCTTTGTGCAAGGGGTGACGCATTTTGTTCCCCCTGTTCATACTCCAGTTATTCTGTGGGACCTCAATTAAGCCTTTAGAAGCTGCCCTTGGAGCTGATCAGAGATATCTCTCTGCCCCTTACTTGCTTACTCAATGCCTTCACTTCTGCTAGGCATGTTTCTGATTTAGCAGCCTTTACATCCAAGAACCCCTTTCTGATCATCCATAAGGAGGAAGTTTTGTGTCGGCTTAAGGCTACCCCTTCCATTCTTTCCACTTTAACCAGGCCATTATGTTACCATCCTTGTACTCTGCCAAATAAAACATCTTAAATGAAATTTCCCTACACTGTTTAGACATAATTTGGGCAGTCAGCGTTATATCTCTTTGCAACTCTAACTCCTGATTTGTTATCCTTGAGGGTCTCTGTATGGAACAACGAGCTTCCTGTTTGTTGGACCATCTTCCAGGCGCTACACATTCCATTAGAAGCCTGGTGCTGAAAAGCCCAAAAAGCTTATTAGGCAAATCTATAAGGCTGCTGCTCACTACACACTTTCGTTCTACCAGGTGGATGTTCAAACCTCTGCAGATGCCAGTTTAGGGCCAAATGTCGTTCAGGCAGCCCTGTAATCCTTGGGCATGCTTGTTTTCATTTTTGCTATCTGTTCCTGGTTGGGGTAGTTGTTTGCAGTGTTGGACTGCTTTTAAACATTTGAGTGGTCTTTCGAATTAACTGTGTCCTGTATGATTCAGAAAACAGGATGTCTCTTACTGTGTAAAATCTGTTTCTTGCAGTACATCACAGAACCCTCCCCCTCTGTATTCTATGATCTATGTACGGCTTGCTACAAGGCTGAGAGTGGGAGAGGTTATGCAGATTTGATCAATACGCCAGTGTCCAATCACCTGGAAGTAGCTGTATGTCACGGTGGCTATAGAATTTAACTTACTGTGTTCTGTGACATTTAATCAAAATATTTTTTGCCAGCACACAACTGAATTGTGTCAACAAGCTTCTGTTCACATCAGAACTGCTTCTCTTCCCATAGAACAGCGGTTCTCAACCTGGGGGGTCAAATGACGATTTGAGTGTTCGAGCAGAGTAAACCTTTCCCTGCCATCGTGGGTTTTTTTTTTCCCCTGACATTGGGGGGTGCCGACCACCATATGTCAGAAAAAAAAAACTCACCATAGGAATGCATAGCTAGATTCCTATTGGCTATTTCACTTTGCAATAGGGCGGGTGCATAAGCAAGGTTGCTATTGCAAAGTGAAATAG